CGTTTGAAATATACATATATATATTTTAATTGAAACTAACATTTATTTCCTAATATTTAATTAATATTAATATAATTCATGAATCTTTCTCTCTCTCTCTTTCTTTTTCCATGAAATACTTAAAAATATACCTAAATAAATTAGCATTCATTTACGTCACAGTTCTAGGAAATTTATCGATTCAAGTATAATACCCTTCGATTAACAACCAATACATATATATACAATTTAATTCATTTCCTTGTAGAAAAATACATCATAGAAAAGGATTTTGTTTAAATTTATCGTATTTTATGTTGTTATGTTTATACATTAATTTTCAATATTTGCAATTACAAAAAATCAATGCACAGTGTTTCATATGATTAAATTTTTTAGCCTTGGATAATAAAATCAGAAAAAAAGGAAATCTAAATAAATGGGAAACAATTTGTTCTTTATTTATCTATCTATTTTTTTTTTGTTAATATATATATATATATATATATTCTTTATTCTATTATTTCTTATACGGAATAAGTTTTTGCAAAAATCAAGAACGAATGATATTCTTCTTTATTTGACTCACTAGACGATTAGAACGTGCCAATTATCCATGACACGATGTTCTCGAAACATGAAAAGATGAAGAATAGTTAGAGATTATAAAACGTGTATTTCTATTCTTTCAAGTTATAGTCGTAATCGCATGAACAAAATGACAAATAAAACAAATCATCTCGTGTTAAAAATAATTTCTTTCTTTTTTTATATCGATTCGTATATAAGATATAATATATTTTGTTTTTGTTTTTGGTTTTGTTTTATATTCAATAATAATCAATTATTAATCGAATATATTGTATATTTTACTAAAATTATTTTGATATTTTAATTTGAATTAAAAAATAATAAAAAAATTCGTAATAAAATTAATATTAAAAAAATATTATGTGTGGAAACAAACAAAACAAGTGAATATATCACAGATTGAAATACAATCAATAATAATTATTCAATTTCATATTTCATAAAATAATTCACAATTGTTTATTCATTACTATAACTTTTTTTTTTCTTCTTTTTATTCGAAGAAGAAGAAGAAGAAGAAATAGAATATAGGAAGCATAAAAAAATAAGTAAACAAAAAAAAAGATGCATATAGCATATAAACATGACGCGTTAGTTCAATAGTTGCACGTGCTGCAATACAAGACACGTGTGTGACTACTGTAAAAAACAAGAGACTCGTTGCTCAGACGAGCAGCACGTCAGAGTTGCATTAATTACCATGCCGTAGTGAATGTAAAAAAGGAGCCACGAAGGAAAGAAAACGAGAGGAACGTTTATAAAACCAATAACAACAACAACAACAACAACAATTACTATTATCCAAATAAAATGTTAACAATTTCAATTGAAACATTTTTCTTTAAACGTTTGTTTTTCAATTAATTAAAATGATTACACGATAAAAACAATACGAATTTAATAATTCATAATAATAATAATAATAATGAATACACAATATTAAGAAAATATTTTAATGACAAATTTGTTGTTATGGTGAAGAAAAAAAAATATGAATTATATTTGATAGTTCGTTATATTTTAAAAAAAAAAGATTATACGAGTTTTATAATAAACGAATATAATATAACACGCGAGTTAGGAAGTAGATAAATTAGGGTAATTGTAAGTCTGTCTTCTAATGATACTTTCAAACGGTACTTACTACTACGCACGTAAGTAGTAAGTACCTGTTAGAACGTAGGCAGTAGTAAGTAGTAAAAACGTTGTTACTTTAATCAGACAGTAACAGACATTAAAATAAGAGATCATTCTTCTCACGCAAAAGATAGCTATGAATTATTGTCATTTATATATAATATTATCATATATCTAACATAATTAATATTATTTTCAAAAATCATACATTAGTTCTATAAGTTAGTTTTGTCTAGTTCAATATTTTTTAATTTATATATATAGAAAATAATATATTTTTTACAAAAATAAATATACCGATCAATAATTAAATTATCTTAACAGATGAGTTAAATAATTACAAATGAAAAAATATATTATACTGATCAATTTTGTTTTGTTTATACACGAATATTGATCAATAATTAAATTAATATAACAGGTGTTTTTAAATATATTATACAAATTTACAATTGATTTTTATCGATTATGTTCTTTTATTTCTTTGATGAAATGATATATCATTTGTTTCTTTTTTTAATGAATGATTTTCTTTCTATTCTGATTAACATTATAATTCTATCAAATCGGAGAAATTCTTGAAATGAGGAACAACATAGGTGATTATCTTTTACTGTTTCTATACGTCAGTCAGAGTACAGGAAATACGTAGTTTAACTTTATTTCACGATTCTCCTCGTAATTGACACAGATTTATGTCCAAGTGGCAACGGGCCAACTCGTGTATGAATTCAAGTTTGCTAAGTATGCATGCATGTATCAAAAGTTTGACAAGAGTCTTATTCTTCAGTATGTATGTGTGTCATCAAATTTGAAAGCTTTGCGATATTAGGGTTAAAGTTTAATAACGAATAACCATTGTAGTATCAGCGTATTTTAAATACAAAAAGAAAAGATTAAAATCATTTTCTTTTTTATTAATGATATTATTAAATTGACAAAAATATAAATCTGAGATATTTCATTACGATTGTTTAAAAGTCTTGTTCATTAATTGTTGGTCAATGGTTTGGTATAATAAAAATGATCGATTGAAATGAAAATAATGAATCAGTATACAATGTTTATATATTATTAAGTGTTTTAATTAATTCATTTCTTATTCAACGTGGAAATATTTTTCTATTCAATCCGATCCCCATTGCCAATTGTTAGACATTATTTAAAATATGTAAAAAT